TGGGATGTGGAGGAGTGGCAAAACTGGTCGGTGTAGGCGACCATCCGCTTGGCACAAAAGGCGCTACTTCAGTGCTCCACCCATTGGTGGAGGGATGTAAAAGCACTCTGTCTCTGCGTGCAGTTGCTCAACCATGCAAGCCAACCTGTTGAGCTGAGACGCACAAATGCACGCTATCGTCGTATGTCGAGGTGTTGGTACCACATCACCTCTTTGTACGTGGAGACCCAAGTCTTCATCATCAACAACAAAAACAACATCCTCCGGTAGTGCACATTGAGACGCCAAGGGACGGACATCTCAACTGTTACTTCGTAAAGCAATTATTTGGATTTCAGTTGTTGCCATGATGAGGGTTAGGATGGAGTTTGCAATTCCCAGTCTTCCCACGCTTGAGTTGTTCATGAAGAGGTGAGGTGGGACGAGGCCTGCATGGTTGGAATGGAAGCCTGTTTGGCTTAGGCGGCCTTTAAGTGTGGCAGGACTTCACATTTGTTGCGATGCAAGGAAGAGTTTGTGGCACTGGCCAACGTGGTGCCGCGTCGCAGTCAATTTGGAAGGGAAGAGGACTCATGACAGCCAGGCTGATATGCAGTCAGGAATGCATTCAAACTGTGGAATGCGTATGCACGAGGCCTGCTATCGTTGTTGGGGTTTGCTAGACAAGGCAGTAACACTGTCTGTTAAGACTGGTGGATGGTGAGGTGGGAGGACTTGCTTTGCCTAGACGACTTGAGTCTGTCACTTGGTCCTTCTCCGTGCTTGCCTCTTTGCCATGCTTACTCAGTTGCGAGGCGACGTTGCGCATCCTCGACGCTGTGATGGTGGTAGACACACAGGGAAGCGAAGGGTGGACGTGAAGCGGAAAGTAGACGCATGGATTTGCACGGTGGTAAGGAGTGGAGAAGACTTACAACCGGGTTTGTCGTCGTCGGCATCGGCAGTGGGGAGGAATTGGAAACTAAGCAGCAGTGCTTCGCACGTGGGGGGCATGATGACCTTCCTTCCCTCATTGTTCTGCTCCTTCAAGGGGAGTAAATGCTGAGCGCACTCGCTTCAGGTTCGCTTGCAAGCGGCATTGATGGCTTCAGCGCTGTCTCCCTCACCCAGGGGTGAGGGACGTTGAGGAGAGGTGGAGCAGGCGTCTGGTCCACCTGCAGTCTTATCGACACCAATTGGTGCCAGTGCAGAGTAGACACCATAGACGTCGACCTCGATGCAGTTTCGGTCCTTCCCTACTAACATGCATCCATTCATTGCTGCTACGGCGACTCGATTGGCCTAACAAGCGATTGGGTGGAAGCGGTATCTGCGCACTTCACCGACGACAGGCTGACCTACCACCTCTGTGGGACGAATCAAGCACATTGCATTCCTCGTCGCATCAATGTGCACTCAGAGTGAGCATGACAGAATTGCACAAATATGAAGGAGGATGAAGAAATGACGACCTCTGCACTGCCACTGGGTTGGGGATGCAACGTTGGAAGACGAGACAGTTGAACGAGTGCTGAACCACACAGTCGCCCTATCACTACCGACAGCCACATTGAGGATCGGTTGGAGTGTGCGTGTCACGCCACTGCTACGGTGAGGAAGGGAGGACCGCCCTGTGTTGCTGCGTCGAGGCCACATTTGTCCGCCCTCCTCTCCCTCCTCATCCTTACCTCACCAACGCGCAGTTGTGAGCACAACAATTGCACTTCATCGAAAAGTAATTTTAGTTTACACGACTGCTGTTTCCACTCAAGTGACGAGGGGAATGCAGAGGAATGAGGTTCGAAGGGAAGGTATGTGGTACGTGTGCGAATTGGCTGGGAGTTAGGCGCACTGCTTGGCAGTTTGTGCGTCTTCTCATCGCATCCATCGCAAGGCAGTCGGTGGGTTGGGAATGACGAGTGACACTGTCTTAGTTGTCGATGCACAGCAGAGACGCAGCAACGGACGATAGGTGAAGCTGTAAAAATGGGCTGCAGTTTGGTGAAAGCACCAACCACTCCTCACGTCGCCTTGGCAAAGAGTCCCAAATCCCTTCCCTTTCGCCTCTTTATAAAGCAAA